TGGTGGCGCACGCCTTTAATCCCAGCACTCGGGAGGCAGAGGCAGGCGGATCTCTGTGAGTTCGAGGCTGGGCTGGAACGATAGCCTCCAAAACAATACAGAGAAACCCTGTCTCATAAAAACCAAAAAACAAAACAAAAAAAATAGTATTTGGGGGTCTGGAGAGCTGGCTCAGCAGTTTAGAGTACCGACTGCTCTTCTCAAGGACCCGGGTTCAATTCCCAGCACCCACATAAAAGCTCTTAACCATCTGTAACTTGAATTCCAGGGGATCTGCCACCTTCTTCTGGCCACAGTGGCCATGTAGAAGTCAGAGGACAACTTTTGGGAGTCAGTTCTACCAAGTGGGCCTTGGGGAGCAAACTCAGGTGGCTGGTTTGGCAGCAAGAACTTTACCTGCTGAGCCATCTCCCTGGCTCCAGGTGGGCTTTATTTTATGTTAACAGAAATAGTCGGACATTGCCCAAAGAGCAAGCTTTCCCTGTGTTCTAAAGGGGAAAAAAGAGATCTCCCTGTGAACAAGAGTGCTAATAAATTCAAGTGATCAAGGGGATAATTCCTTTGTTGTTTTGTTTTAAATTTTGGTCACATTTATTTATTTTGTGTGTGTGTGTGTGTGTGTGTGTGTGAGAGAGAGAGAGAGAGAGAGAGAGAGAGTGTGTGTGTGTGTGTGTGTGTGTGTGTGTGTGTGTGTGAACACTCCAGATGGTGGAGGAATACAAAAGTCTGAGGTCAACTCTCTCATTCAGGTCCTCAGGCTTGAGGAAGATGCGCTTACCCACTAAGACATCTTACTAGCCCAAGGGGACACACCCAGATGGCCTTTTTCCAGGTAGCTGTGGATGACTAACCATGGCCCTCTCAACTGGGACAAGATGGCTGTTAGGAGTTGGCAGATACAGTTAAGATTTAAGGCAACTCTGCATAAATTTACTTCTGAAAAGCAGCCAAAATACAGACTCCATCATTTGTGGTCTGGCTGGATGTCCCTGTTAGTCATCTTCCCACTGCCCTGTATCTTCTTGCAGACCCAGGGTTAAGGTAACAATACCTAAAGTATTCAGACATATGCTCAAACAGGTGCTTGATAAATAGCAATGCCCTTTCTTTTTCCAATGCTTAAAACTCCCTGTATGGGGTGGGGTCATAAACAAAGAGGCACAGTGCTATGTGTGTATAGCCATAGCTTCTTGGGGGCACTGAGGCAGGACAACTACTGGAACCCAGGCTCAAATGAGTTCTAGGCCAGCTTGGACAACAAAGGCCCTACAGAGCTAATATTAAAATTATCATGAGCACACAAACAAGGCTGATTGCATTCCTTCTACTATAAACGCCATTCATGTAACTCAGATATTGACTGTGGTGCCCTCTAATTTCTTTTTTCTGTGTGTGTCACCTTGTGCAGGGGCTATGCTAATCTTCTCTGTTTCATTCCAGTTTTAGTATATGTGCTGGATACTCAGGATCTCACAGTGTTCTCAACTGGGCCTGAGCAAGCTCAGTTTGAGGTCTATCTTGATCTTTTAAATGTTTTCCTGGCCTGTGAAGAATCAGGAAGGCATCTAGTCCATGTCAATATAAAAAAGATGCTTGTATTATTTACATGGCACGATACAGGCACACAGATGTAATTATAGCGTATGACATGCCAACGACTCAAAATAGCGGAATGGCTTTCTAAATTGCAGTTTAAGTGTTCCCAAATCACTGCTTTTTCCTAACAAGCCTGTGTCCTTATGACACTGTCAGCACAATAAAAAAGGAGGAACTATAGTTTTCCTAACAGTCTAGCCTCAGAATATCTGTCTCCTACCATGTGACAGAATATTTGTGACGAGCCACGTGGCTGTGGGCAAGCCAAGGTATTTTTCAGTTTGGAAAACATTTGTATATTTATGGCATTCGAGGCTTTGGGATGGACTTCTGGGAGATGACTGCATCATGCTTTTAAAGAGAAGGGCATGATGGGTAGGGACTTTCAACAGTCCAGAGCCTGCAGTTGCTTTAGACTCGTAGGCCGTATTCAGGAATGGGACTAGAAAGAGGTGTGGCTATGGAGAGTGCAGAAGGCTAAGGAGACCAGAAACTGCTAACTAAAGGAGTCACAAGGGAGCGCAGCTCAGTGGAGCAATATGTGAGGTTCTGTGTCTGATTCCCAGAACCGCAAAGGAAATAAACACATAAATATGTAAATACATAGGTAAATCCTAGCTGGAATCTAGCCAGAACAACCACAGCTCCTTCATCATTGAAGAAGGTGTTAAAGTAGGTAGAGTGTTTCCCAGCCATCTGCAGCTGGAATAAAAAAGTGTGCTGTATATATGTATGTATGCATGTGTGCACACACGTACAGAGGCCAGAGGTCAGTGTCTGTTTTCCACTGGCTGGCCATTGAACTTCAGGGTCCTCTTGTCTCTGCTTCCTCAGGACTGAGATCCCAGCTACAAACCCTCCAATCCCCCCAATTTACTCCTGCCTGGCTTTTGAATTGTATTTCTTAATTTTTAAAGTGAGTGCTGGGGATTGAATTCAGGTCTTCTTGCTCGATGTGGCTTTATCAGCGGAGCCATTGCCTCCTTCTCCTCCTCATATAAATTCAGCTGACGCTAAAAAAGCCAATACGTGGTGAAAATAACCCACATAATAGAGGGTTACCTCCCCTTCTTCCTCCCTTTCCTCCTTCAGTCAATTTGCAATGGAAAAAATTAAACAAAATGGGCCAAGATGGTCGTATCCTGGATCAAATGACTTTGAAAGGCTAAACCACAAGTTGGTGTTTATGACTAGTTCAGTCTCACACTAACAATTGTGTGGCAATTGGATGCTTGTTAGGGACCTAGGATCACTATTGGCCTGGGGGGGACTCAGTTAGGGCTCCCTCCTAATTGCCCCATATGCTGGTTTTATTTGGTGGCTCATCTGGGTGGAAGGGACTCTGGGAAGAGATGAATTCATTCTTAGTTACCTCACCAGATTGCTAATTTTCACTGTGGTAGCATAAATCACCATAATTACTGCAGTCCCCAAATGGAGAGACAGCTATCCTGGCACAAGGGCAGCAGCTATTACTACTACTAAAGCCGTCCTACCTGGGGTCCGTGGAGCACATGGCTAGCTTTGTGGACATGCTCTGGGACGTGGGATGGAGTGCATGCAGGGCAGTTACTTTCTACCACCAGGGAAGGCACAACAAAGGAAAAGCCTCTTCTGGGTTAATGGCAGGAGACTGCAGCTTATCAGAGAGCCTTGGAGCTCAGCAGCAGATGTCATATTTAGAAAGTCCAAGGTTCTGAGCTCAGTCCACACCACCTAAATAAATAAGCAAATGACCCGTGGCTCCAGGCCTCCGGAAGCTGCTTATATATGCTTGGCTCACAAGCAGAAGGTCAGCACAACTCCAGCCTTTTCTCCCTCTTTCCATGAACTCACTTGTTGGTGTGGCTTGGGTTGTGTCCCTCTCTTGGGGAAAATGACCGCCAGCAAAAACCAGAGGCTACAAAAATAGTCTCTAGATGGGGAGGCTAAATGTCATTAGGGACCGGAGCAAAAAGCCAGATGTAAGCAGTTACTTAGTCTTCTACCTGTAATGTTGATTTAAACACCCCGTCCACACACACACACACACACACACACACACACACACACACACACACACACACACACGCACACGCACACGCACACGCACACGCACACGCACACGCACGCACGCACGCACTAATGTGCTATACACTTTTTGAAAAAAAAAAAGAAAAGAAAAAGATGAAAACCTGGGATTGAGAATAAAGTTCAATGTTATAATGTTTGCCTACTAGAAGCCCTGTGATCAATCAATCTTAACACTACAATATATAAATAAACAAACAAACCTATAATGAGATCAAAATATAAAATTTCATAAACAAATATGCAACAATGATTTAGGATTCCTACAGAAAGTGAAGAGGTAGACAGTACAAGAAACACCCTTGTGTTGATCTGGAACTGTAACTCAGCCGGTAGCCTGCTGGCCTAGCTTGTAGGAAGCCAGGGGTTAAATCCCCAGCACAGCATAAATTACCCAGCTGATGGCTGGCTCCCAGTTGTGATCCCAGCACTCTGGAAGTAGAGGCAGGAGGATCAGAAATTTAAGATCAGTCTCAATTACATAGAAAGTCAGAGGCCACCCTGGGTTACATGAGACCTGTCTTAAAAACAAAATATCAGAGACAAAGGCAAATGAGAACCTTGCTCTGTGGCTGAGGATGACCTTGAACTCCTGATCCTTTTGACTTCATCTCTCAAGTGCTGGACTTCCAGGCATTTGACACAATGCCAGCTAAATACAATTTCTCTCTGCCTCTATTTTCCCTCATACTCTCCCTTTTATTTTGTGTGTGCCTGCGTGCGTGCGTGTAGTGTGTGTGTGTGTGTGTGTGTGCTGAGCCGCCTCACCAGCCCTCTCTCAGATTTTTGGTTAGCATGTGAAGAAAAGGTTTTCACTGTGACATTTTCATATATGGATCTGCATATGAATCTTTCATTATACTTTGGTCTTACTCACTCCTCCCTGCTTTAATGACAGATGTACTCCATTACCCCATCTTGTCCCTCTCCTTCAAATCTCTTTTTTCCTTTTCAGGTTCCTCTTTTTACTTTAATGTCCTACAGACACATATGAAACATATACTTTCTTTTTATTTTTAAAACTGGGTCTCATCTGGGTGTGGTGGCTCATGTCTTCAGTCCCAGCACTTAGGAGGCCTAGATGGGTGGTCAGGGCCACAGAGAAAGCCTCTTGTGAAAAACAAACACAAACAAGCAGGAAGTCAAGGTCTCACTATGTAACTCTGACTGGTTGAGAGCTCACTTTGTAGACCAGGCTGGCTTCGAACTTGCAAAACTCACAAAGACCCACATGCCTTAGCCTCCTGAATGTTGGGATTAAAGGTGTGCACATATGAGAGAAAACACACAAAGTCACACAGTTTCTTAACTAGTCCATATCATAGTGTCTGGTTTTTCACTTTTATTTTTGCTTTCTTTTGGGGGAGGGGCTGGAGTTTTAAACACACCAGGGGATTGGGTGGGGGCTGCTTAACAAAAGAAAAGGCCTGCTGAGGAGGAATGATTTTTTGCCTAACACTCTAAAGCTGGATGGATTTAGAGTCCAGAGCATCTGTTATTATTGATGGCCTAAGAACAGAGAGAATTTTAGGCCAGGAATGTTTTGTGAAAAGTTGAGGCTGCTCCTGGCCATTGGAAGATAAGACAGACAAATAATGGATTGCAAGGGGGTAAATGGTTCTGGCTAGGGTCTGCTCCTCCCTCTCTTGCCCCAGCTGCCCTCGGATGACAGGGAACAGACCTGCTTGTGTTTTTCTGACTTCCAATCACCTGCCTGCGTGTTTAGGCAGCAGACAGACTTGTGTTATAAACACAGCTCTGCAGAAAGCTCCCTTGGCCAAGTATGGCATTTCTAGTATTCTAATTCTCTTTTGATGTTTTCCACCATCATTTAGGTCCCTCAGGGTTCTATCGGGAACATACCACAGTGCCTAGATACAAAGTAGATGTTCAACATAAATTTGATAAATAGGTTCCCATTTGGAGAAGAATTTGAGGGGGACCATTGTAGAGTGACAAATGGCTCACTTCTTTGGAGTCTGTCTCTCCCCATGAGTACCTAGATGAAAGAAAGGGCTGAGGTCATTCTTGTTCTCAGAACAGTTCAAAGGCTCTCCAGAGGGGCCAGGCCATGCTTTATGAAGCAGCCCTTCCTTAAAGACAATGACTGTTGGGTGGTAGTCACACACTTGGAGGCAAATGATTTTGATTTTGCCTTCTAACACATGGGCGTTTTCCCCAGCAGCTCAGTTTTACACCTGCAGAAAAGGCCAAAAGCCAAGGCTGTCTTGACCACAGCAATACTATTTGTTTTAGTGTCACAAAAGCCTGAGTTTTTCCTCACCAGTTTCCCCAAAGATGTCATTTCCCAGCTACACATACTTGGTTAGGCTCTATCTCCTCACTCTCAGGACCATGGGGGCCACTTTGAGGTTCAGTACTTTTTTGTCTGCCTCTCATCTCCTCCCAAACCCCAAATTCTTAGCCAGATGTCAGCATCTGGGACAAAGCAGCAATAATGAGAATTGGGGTTAGGGCTGAACATGTATATCAGTCTAGGAACAAAAGCTGAGGCTGGGGGTGCAGTTTGGGTACAGTTAATAAGCTCAGGGCTCTGGGTTCAGTTTCAGGGAGGGAGGGAGGATGGAAAAGTGAATGAAGCAATACCGCTCTCACTTTGAGGAGAATGCTAGGAAGTCATGTTTTAACTTCATTTTTAGTCTGTGTGTATGCATATAGGCCTTCATGAGTTTGTCTCCACCATATTCATGCAGACATCCATGGAGACCAGAAAAGGGCTTCAGATATGTACCAGGCTTTTTCTTTTAGGGACACCATCCAGCTTTCAAATCATGACATGGAGATTTATTATTAGTTTAGAATGCCCAACCTAGTTTAGGCCCGTTTCTGGCTAGCTCTTTTAATTTAAATTAACCTGTTTCTCTTTATCTACCTTTTGCCTCGGGGCTTTCTACCTTTCTTCCTTCTGTATGTCTTACTTTCACTGGCTTGGTGTTTCCCTGCCTTCTTGTCCTGGGCAGGTCTCTTTCTCTCCTCCTTCGTCTCTGGGTCCTCCTTCTCTGGAGTCTAGATTTCTTCTCCTACTTATTCTTTCTGCCTGGCAGCCCCTCCTATCCTTCTTCTGCCTAGCTATTGGCTGTCCAGCTCTTTACTAGGTGCCTTAGGCAGGCCAGATGAAACAAATGCAGCACATTTTTACATAAGTAAACAAATGCAACACATCTTTGCATAATTAACATTCTGCAACACAGATCTCCTGAAACTGGGGTTACAGGCATTTGTGAGCCACCTGATGCAGGTGCTGGGAATGAACCCATCCCCTACAAGAGCAGTAAGTGCTCTTAACCACCGAGCCGTCTCTCCCGCCCCAGGAATAATTGTTTCCTGTATTTCTTACTGTGTGTGTACGGGTGTGGGTGTGCAAATGCCGTGGTGTGTGAAGGTCAGAGGAACAGCTTGCAGGAGTCACTTCTCTTTTACCATCACATGGGTTTCAGGGATCAAACTCAGGGTGCCGGGCTTGGCCACAAGTGCTTATACCCACGTATCTGTCTCACCAGCCTGCTAAAAATTTTTATTTAACTCAGGTGGTGAATAAGTAAGGACTACATATAGGCCATTTGCTTTAGGGTTTTTGGTTTTGGTTTTTTTTTTTTTTTTTGGTAGTTCTAGGGATCTCAAATTCAGGGCCTAGAACTTGCTACATTTTATCAAGGGAGGGAGAGAGGGAGGAAAGGAGAAAGAGAAAGGAAGGCAAAGTAATGCCTTCCGCATGCTAGGACTGCAGCTGTGTGCCACTGTGTCCGGCTGTATTCACCTAGAAAATGTCGACAGGGGCTGGAGAGATGGCTCAGAGGCGCCGGCTGCTCTTCCAGAGGTCCTGGGTTCAATTCCCAGCAACCACAAAGGGCTATAATGAGGTCTGGTGCCCTCTTCTGGTGTACAGGAATGCATGCAGGCAGAACACTGTATACATAATCAGTAAATATCTGTTGATAACGATGATGACATTGTGTGTGGGTACAGGTGCACGTGTGCCAGAGAGCACAGATGGATTCAAGGGTTGCTGCCTTCTTCAATCATGGATTCTAGGAGAATGGGACTCAGTTGCTCAGGCTTGTACTGCCAACACAGTTGCCGGCAGAATGGTCTTGCCAGCCCTGCATTCACTTGCTAAGGAAACTTACTAACTTATTAGTGTGGGTGAGCGAAGGCCAGAGGACACAACTTTGTCGTCGGTTCTCTCCTTCCTCCTTTGCCGGGTGAGCCACCTTTATCAGGCCTTGGCTCACTCTTGAACTCATTTGGTTCCGTGTGTCTTAGAGGGAGCTGGGGGCTGGAGCCCCGTTCCGTACACTGTCGGGCTTACAGCTCTGAGGGGAAAGGTATCCCGGTAGTTGGGAGCCAAGGACTACCACAACGTCGCACCACACAACAAACCTCACACAAGAGATTTGTTGGGGGAAACAGGAGGGTGGCTGCCTCTGCTTGGGAGAAAAGCAGCAAAGAGCTGAGCTGGAGGCAGGCTTTACATTGTGTTTCTAGGGGACCGGGAGGTGGCCTGGGATTGGTGGAATTTTATGCCCTGATTTGGGGGCAAGCTCAAGGATTGGTGGGCTCTCGTGGCCTGATCTGGGGCTTTTCCCCCCATGTATGGTGGAGCTTGGCCTCTTGGATCTCTAGGAGCTAGAAATGGAAATTAGAATAGTCTGCGGGTGAGGCCTGGCCGATTGTGCCTCAAGGGTCTTACTTTTACATTTGTGAGCTGCCATGTAGGTAGGTGCTGGGAACTGAATCCAGGTCCTCTGGAAGAATAGTCAGCACTTCCAACCACTGAGCCATCTGTCCAGCTCCACCTTACCTGCTTTTATATAGTGCTGGGGATTTAACCCAGGGCTTCCTGCATGCTAAACAAGCGCTCTACCCACCCAGCTACCTCCCAGTACTCAAAATAGAATGAAGTGCAGCTTTCTGTTTATATTTGCTATTGAGATATGCACACAACAATTCCCAAACAAGTCTAAAAGCTCATACAGTATTTACTGTGACTACATGTTATGATTCCATAGCCCTTTTGTTTGTTGACAGGGTCTTTCTTGCTGTGCAGCACAGGCTGGCTTTGAACTCACCATATAGCCAAGGCTGCCCTTCAACTCATGCTGCCTCTGTTTCCAGCAAAGTGCTGGCATTTGTCAGCCATGTACCACACACCTGCCATATGGAGTCTTTTGTCTTAGCTCTGGCTGTCTTGGAACTCACTACATAGACCAGGCTGGCCTTGAACTCACAGAGATCCACCTGCCTCTGCTGGGATTAAAGTTGTGTTCACCCCCACCCCCCTTCGTCAAATCACAGAGCTTTTAAAAGTTTCCTGCCTGGCTGTGGTGGCACACGCCTTCAATCCTAGTACTTGGGAGGCAGAGGCTACCCTGGTTTACAGAGCGAGTTCCAGGACAGTCAAGGTTACACAGTGCAGCTCTGTCTCAAAAGACCTTCCAAACCAACCAACTCAACAATCACCAGCCCCCCATCCCCCACTCATCCTGTTACATGTTAAACGTGCAGCTAGATAGAAATATGAATTTTTAGTAGCAAATAGGTGCAGAGATAGGAGGGTCAAGTGGAATAAGCACTAGAAAACTCCCAGCTCCGTGCTGGCAGGTGAGCATGCCATCAAGGGCAGGCTTTCCCATATTCTATCTAGAAGAAAGGAGGAAGAAAAGGGAAGGCATTAGGAACTCAGATGGCTGGCATAATACTAAGTCCTCGAGAACCTGGACTCGCGGAGCTGTTGGCAGCAGTAAGAACCACTGTTGTGGTATTGCCCTGCCTGTCTATGTAGCTCTGACTGGGGACTGCTTCTGCTTCCCAAGAGCTGGGATTAAAGGAGAGCGCCACCATGCCCAGCTTGCCTGCGATTCTTTACTCTATCACCAAGGTGCTGGAGAGTGATCAAAGACACAACATTGCAGAGGGGACTCGTTTGCGGAGGTACAGCAAAAAGTAGCAGAGGGGACTCGTTTTCTTTCTTTTGACTGATGGAAGGGCTGTTCACTTGGGGGAGGGGAGTTTCCTTATTTCTCACACAGAATGTTGTGATACGTGAAACCCTTCACTCGCACTATAAGGCTCTGCCAAAGAGAAAGGTGTTGGGACACCTAAATTTATGACCCCAGGTTCACAGCATAGCTGACATATAGGGGAACAGGTTCTGAGAGGACTGAAGGTAATGGCAACAGGAGTGCCGAGACCAGCCTTACCGGGACACTGTCTCAGCTTTGGGGTATAATAGCAACGACCATTTGCAGTATGCCTTTTTGCATATCTATTTCATTTAGTCCTTACCTAAGCCATATAGACCGTATTATCCCAGTTTACAGAAGAGAAGCCAGAACTCATCGTCTGCTGGTGGAAGAGTCATTTGAGATGGCTTCACAAGAGGTCACAAACTGGAACGATGAGAGACTATACACGTCAATTTTGCTCTTCCCCCAAAACGTTTCGGTCTGTAGTCGCCCCCCCCGGCCCCCCCTGCTCCCGGCCCTCACCACCCAAAGATTCTAAAGCGCAGGCTCAGACGGTTCCGGCATGCGTCCTTGAAGGGCCCCTTGCACAGGTCACGGTCGCCCTCTGCTGACGTAGTGCGGAAGCGCGCGGACCGTGAACGTTTAGGAACCTAAGAGCGGGGAGAGTCCTCTCGCCCGATAGAGGGCGCCATGCGGCGTACAACGTCGCTCAGTGTGTGTGGCCCTTCTGCGAGGACTTCCTGTCCGGTCTCTCTGATTCACGCTGTGGCGCTCAAGGACAGTAAACAAAAGAGACGTGCACCGACCCGGAAGTGGAAACGGTAGCTTCGCGTTCTGGCCGACCGGAAGGAGACTGAAGGGAAGTTGTAGCCATGGCTGTGGCCGTGGCTGCTGCCGGGGTCCTGATGGGCTCGGAGCCCGGCCCCGCGGAAGAGCTCGCTAAACTCGAGTACCTGTCTTTGGTGTCGAAAGTTTGCACGGAGCTGGACAATCACTTGGGCATCAACGACAAGGATCTGGGTGAGCTGGAGGAGGTCCCCATGGCCTTTGAGTTTGGGGTCGGGGGAGGCAGGAGAAAAGTAGTTGACGGGCCTAGTGTGCGTTTATCATCGCGACTTGGGCTCCGGGAACCTGCGACAGTGGCCTCTGCTTGAGAGCCTTCTGGACCGAGCTGTTAGAAACCATGTCCCAGAGCTGCCAGTGGAGGCTAGGGCTACCATCTCTGCTTGGTGGGTGTTTTTCCATTCTGGGTTGGTTATACAGCGTTAGCAATAGCAGCAGCCCCCGCAAAGATGGTGATGGTGGTTATGACCAATATTTTCTAGAAGCTCACGAGCTATTATTTTGGGTTAACTCTTCATCGGCGTTATCTTGTTTGGTCTTCGCTACCCAGAGGCAGCAGTCAGCATCTACACTTTGAACCGTGGTTTTGACTGTTTACATACTCTCATCTATCAAACACCAGTCACTAGATGTTTAGGGGCGAACTATGACCAGAGGACCCAAACAGAAATTAAGAAAGGCTAGGGACCCAGATCACATATACATAGATGGAGTCCTTATGAAAACGAGAGGGCGAATTTGTTTGTGAGTCAGGGGTGTATGGGGAGCAATTCCATTTGATGGGTACGGGGTTGCCGCATTTGTTGCCACAGGAGAAAATGGTTGTAGACGGAGTAAGATTTAGAGATTGGTGTTAGAAATATCAGTGAAAGAGTGTTACCTGTTTTTTACTTTTAAATAAGTATTTTCTTTCCCCTTTATGTGCATGAGTGTTTTGTCTGCATGTGTGTCTCTGCATCACATGGGTGCCTGGGGCCTGCAGAGGCCAGAAGAGGGTTTCAGATCCCCTGGGACTGGAATTACAGACAGCTGTGGGCCAACTTGTGGGTACTGGGAATAGAACCTGAGTCCTCTGTGCTCTTAACCTGTGAGCCAGCTCTCCAGCCCCAAGTATTTTATTTTATGTGTATGAGTGTTTTGTCTGTCTGTATGTTTGTGTATCATCTGCATGCATGGTGACCTCAGAAGGCTTTGGATGCTTTGAAACTGGATTTATAAATTGTTGTGAGCTGCCATGTGGGTTCTGGAAATCAAACCAAGGTCCTTTGGAAGAGCAGCCACTACTTTCCCTTCCCCAACATTCCCCCCACTCCCATTGTGTGTGTGTGTGTGTGTGTGTGTGTGTGTGTGTGTGTGTGTAGCAGCCTTGGCTGTCCTGAAACTCACTCTGTAGACCAGGCTGGCCTTGAACTCACAGAGATCTGCCTGCCTCTGCCTCTTGAGAGCTGGGATTAAAGGCGTGCGTCACCGTGTTTTACTGTATATCCTTTTCAGATGTAGAACTCACAATGTAGACCAAACTGGCTTTGAACTTACAGTCATCTGCTGTCTTCTCATAGTGCTAGAATTAAAGGTGTTGGCCAGTAAACCATGAATATGATTCTTTGATTGTTTTGTTTTTGAGACAAAGTTTCTCTGTGTACTGAAACTTGCTCTGTAGACCAGGCTGGCCTTGAACTCACAGAGGAATCTGCCTGTCTCTGCCTCACTGCTGGGATTAAAGACATGCACCAACACTGCCTGTCAAGACAGCTTTTTAAGTGAACATGTGAAGTCATCAAGTGGAGGACTCCAGGGAAGGGAAATGTTATACGAGAGGTCAGGGAGAGCTGGGAATTGGTAGAGTCCATGCATGGGTTATGGGGTTCATCTCCAGTACTACCAAAATAAATAATAAACAAACCACAACAAAACCCTGACTAAACAAACCCAGAGGGGCCACAGAAGTCAGATTTGGGACTTCAAGTGAACTGTATTCTTACCTGTGAAATTGAATGTTACCTCTTTTCCTAGGTTAGCAGATGGTGCTCACAATGTCCCACAGCCAGCATATTTCAGGTCATGTTTTCTCCCGTAGAAATTTCTCCCAAGGTAGAAATTTAGCATCCCTAATCTGGAAATTCAAAATCACCACTTTGAGCTCCAACATGAATCTGTCAGTGTGAATGTTCTGTTGCCAGCTTTAAGATAAGCTCTTTGAGTATAGTACCCTAAGTATTTTTCTCTCTACTTTTCTCTAAAGAATTTGGTTGAAGTCAACATTGCCTGAGTTCCAACCTTGGCTTCATCAATTACTGTGTAGGATGCTATTTCAAACATTAGGATAATAGTGACAGCCTACTTAGAATGTTGTAAAAATATTGTAAATAACAGTGTTTGACAGACAGGTAAGGTTTAAAATGTATTAACTATAGGCATCTTTTTTTTCCCAAGACAGAGTTTCTCTGTGTAAGAGGTCTCACAGAGAACCGCCTGTCTCTGCCTCCTGAATGCTGGGATTAAAGGCGTTTACCACCACTGTCCAGCAACTATAGGCATTCATGTAATTATTTGTAAGCTATGTTCATGTGGCTGGGTGGTATTTGGCTTTTTCTGAATGTCATCAAAAGTTAACTGCAGCCAGGAAAGCACCTGCAATCTCAGGACTTAGGATGTGGAGGCTGGATGATTAGTAATTCCAAAGTCAGACGTAGAGAATCTGAGTGTAGCTTGGGTGTGTATGTGAATCAGGGGTATGACTCTCAAAACAACAAAACCAAGTACAATAAAGGCATTCCGCTGGGCGTTGGTGGCACACGCCTTTAATCCCAGCACTTGGGAGGCAGAGGCAGGCGGATCTCTGTGAGTGAGGCCATCCTGGTCTACAAAGCGAGTTCCAGGACAGCCTCCAAAACAATACAGAGAAACCCTGTCTCAAAAAAACAAAACAAAACAAAAAAGGCATTCCTTTAATATGTACAACAGATATATGCCAGTACATTTTTTGAAGATTTGCTTTTAACTATGCATATGTGTGTTTGTGTGGGTGTGTGCACATGTGTGTTGGATCCCCTGGAACTGGAGTGACAAGCAGTTGTGAGCCTACTGATGTGGGCACTGGGAACTGAAATAAGGTCTTCTGCAAGCAGAGGATGTGCTCTTTAATTGTTGAGCTGTCTCTCCCGTCCCTATGCTGGTATTTTTCTTTAATTAAAAACTTTTACTGTCTGTAGATATGGCACATTGGTTAAGAGCACTCACTGCTTTGGCAGGGGACCTGATTTCAGGTCCCAGCACTCACATCAGATGGCTCATAACCATCTGTAGCTGCAGCTCTAGGGAATCTGATGCCTTCTTGCCTCCAAGCGTATTTGCATGCATGAATGCATGCTTACTGTCTTAGGTGCCTTTTTATTGCTGTGAAGAGGCACCATAACCAACTCTTGTAAAAGAAAGTGTTTGATTGGAGGCTTGCTTATAGTTTCAAAGGATTAGTCCATTACCATCATGGCAGGGAGTGTAGTTCAGGCATGATGCTGGAGAAGTAGCTGAGAGCTCACATCCTGATCCACAGGTAAAGAGAGAATTCAGAGGTTCAGTCCATTATCAGATAGCTGAGAGTTCTATGTCTTGCACAGGTAACCGAAGTGAATTGAGGCACAAGCATATATGAGGCTTCAAAGCCTGCCTCCACAGTGACAAACTTCCTTCAACAAGACCACACCTACTCCAACAAGGCCACACTTCTTTTTTTTTTTTTTTTTTTTTTTTTTGTTTTTCGAGACAGGGTTTCTCCGTGGCTTTGGAGGCTGTCCTGGAACTCGCTCTGTAGACCAGGCTGGTCTTGAACTCACAGAGATCCGCCTGCCTCTGCCTCCTGAGTGCTGGGATTAAAGGCGTGCGCCACCAATGCCTGGCTAAGGCCACGCTTCTTAATAGTGCTACTTTCTTGGGAGGCCATTTTCTTTCAAACCACAACACCCATAAAATAAATTATTTTAAAAAATTAATTATTGGGCCTGGAGAGATGGCTCAGAGGTTAAGAGCACTGACTGTTCTTCCAGAGGTTCTGAGTTCAATTCCCAGCAACCACATGGTGGCTCACAGCCATCTATAATGAGATCTGGTGCCCTCTTTTGGCCTAGAGGCATACATGCAGACAGAACACTGTGTACATAATAAATAAATAAATCTTTAAAAACAAAAAAAAATTAAAAAAACAGATTTTTTCCTTTGTTCTAAGTAGATTGTAGTTTTTAAGATAATTGGGTAATCTGATCAGTTTTTAGCATACTTAAAACAATTTCTGGATGGAGTCCCCATTTTTAATTCCTTTAAAATTTTTTTTTCATTTGCAGCTGAATTTGTGATCAGTCTTGCTGAGAAAAATACCACATTTGATACTTTCAAGGCTTCTCTGGTCAAAAATGGTGCAGAATTCACAGTATGTATACCTGAAGATTCTGTTTTTTTTTCCCCTCTTTATTTTGTTGTTGCTGCTGAATTTAGATTTTGATAGAACTAAAGGATTTTCAAGTAGGAAGGAGACAGTTTGTACATACAGTTAATAAGCCGTCAGATGTATAATGTGCCATAGTGGTGAGGGAGCTGTATTTCCGGGATGCTTTCCCAGGAGGAGGCAAGAGGATTTCCATCATTAAGTCTTGTTTTGTGCTCAGGAAGTTAGGACCAAGAGTCTAGGTTTTGGAGGTGGTTTTATTTATTTATTTATTTATTATTTATTTATTTATTTATTTATTTAT